CATGCCATGCCAAGCACTACTTGCACCAAACTACAGTGTAGCCTAATAATGCAACTAAAATTGTACAGTTTGAATAATGCAGAAAGAAACAATGCTGAGTGTGCACATCTGTGAACAAATTTCTTATTAAAGACCGCAGCGCAGTGTATTACAGGAATACGAGCCATGCGTGTGTTTTCGATGAGCTTCATCATGACATATGAGAGAGCGTGGCGCCTCACGTCAGTTTCTCACGCGTGTATGAGTGTATGTTTAAGATGATAAGGCTCTCTTTCCACCACAGAAACGCTTGTTTCACGTAACCAGACAGGTGTAGTAGTGCTCACACACAGTAACCAACCTTTCAACTGCAACTGTAATCAAACCCAACTTGATTATTCACGATTATTATTTGTGTGTGTGTGTGTGTGTGTGTGTGTGTGTGTGTGTATGTGTGTACAGGTGTATATATCCTGGTGGGGACTTAAACCTGACTACACACAGACTCATGGGGACTCGTGTCATGGTGGGGACCTAAATTGTGGTCCCCACGGGTACAAAAGCTTATAAATCATACAGAATGAAGTTTTTTGAAAATCTAAAAATGCAGAAAGTCTCCTGTGAGGGGTAGGTTTAGGGGTAGGGTTGGTGTAGGACAATAGAATATACGGTCTGTACAGTATAAAAACCATAACGCCTATGGAGAGTCCCCCACAAGGATAGCTGACCAGACATGTGTGTGTGTGTGTGTGTGTGTGTGATGCTGTATATACACATATAGATACCATGCAAAGGTTCAGGGTCTGTAGGATTTGTAATGTTTTATGTTTTTAAAGTCTTGTCTGCTCACCAAGGCTAAATTTATTTGATTGAATACTGTAAAAAAACAGCAATATCATGAAATATTATTACAATTTAAAAGAAATCAAGCGTAGCGTTAGTTCTGGCAGGTCACGTTAGTCAAGCTCGCATCAGCTGACCTTCAGCTGATCCCCATCAACCTATGGGAATACGACACCTATCTAAGTATTCATATATAAGGCCCCGCAGTAGTATCAGCAGTTTTCGCATTGCTCAATAGCTAATTACCCTCCTCCATCCCCAGCTCCTCCTCTGTCAGTCAGGATTCAGCCTTCTGATTCTCCTTGAATCAGACTAATTCTAAAATGTGTACATAACATTATTGAACTTTAACAATATCTGCAATACATTTATGTTGGTTCTGTTCTGTTTACCCTGGGGGGGTTATCGCTGCTCTCCCTGCTCTCATCCATGCTAGGCCCAGAACGGAACCATACCGCCAATCCAAACTGTATGCTAATTGTCAATCATCTTTGATGATAGTGGTCCTGACAGAACTGTTTTCTATGTGAATATATTTTAAAATGTAATTCATTCCTGTGATCAAAGCTTCATACTCCTGTCTTCAGTGTCACATGATTCTTCATAAATCAGTATAATATGCTGATTTGCTGCTCAAGAAACATTTCTGATTGTTATCGATGTTGAAAACAGTTGTGCTGCACAATATTTGTGTGGAAACTGTGATGCATTTTATTTTTCAGGAATCTTTGATGAATAGAAAGTTCAAAAGCTCAAATCTTTTGTAACGTTAGAAATGCTTGACTGTCTATTAAACGCACTCTAGTGTCTTCCAGTCGTTCGAGAGCTCTCATGTCTTCAGCTGCAGGTGCTTACAGTATTTCTGGGCCTGTTTGAAATTAGAGGTAGTAGTTCAAGGACAGTTGCGATTATTGAGCAACACTGCCCTCCACTGTTTAACTGAAATATCACTATATTTTTTAAAAACCCCAAAATAAACAGAGGGCTAGTTAACACACTGCCTTGCAATGCCCTCAGCATTCCTCATGCATGGGCAATTCTGCTTAGTTACACAACTTTGATGTCAATTATAGAAGCCGGGTTCACAGAGTTCACAGGCCACCAGAAGCAATGTCAGAAACCCCTTGAAATTTTACAAAAAAGCTCTGAGGTCCCATACAGGATTTGAACCAGGAACCTCTTGCATCATAAATCTATACCAACAAACCCATATGTGCTATTATTGTGCAAGTTCTTGCACGTTGATATGGTACCTTTTGATGATTAGCATTAATTATTATTATTTAATTTGATTTTATTTGTTCAAACTCAACTTTTAAGTGGATAATTCATCCAAAAACTGTGGACAAACAACACTGGGCCCCATTAACGTTCATTGTATGGCCTGAAAAATAAATAAATAAATAAAATTTTCTTCTGTGTTTTCTTGAAATAAATAAATAAACAGGTTTTAGAATGACATTTTATTTTTGGGTGAACTATCTCTTTAAGAGCTCTGATTCCCTTGATGTTTTCTAAGGGGCATCTCAAAAATTCATCATCAAATATGCAATCAATTTTTTTCCTTGAACAGCGCAGTGAGGAGGGCATTTATACAGGAATCCACACAAACAGAAATACCTACCTTAATTTTATAATAATAATAATAATTTCCTATAGCAACATTCCCATCAGCCACTCAGCTAAAGGAAGAGGATTTGGTGTATGAAGAGAACACAAACATCCCTCCATCAGCCAGCCACACGTGACCCCAGTGTGACCCTGATGGCAAGATTTTGATGACTAGCTCTGAAATCATTGCTTCTCAGTATGACGTGCTCATGAAACCCTCTGTGCTTTTTCCTTGTGACTACAAACAAGAGGAAAACATCTCCGCGGTCAGGACTGATTAAATGTGCTTCATCCATCATGAGCATGAACGACACAGAGAAGGTCAGCGTTCAGAAGAACACACGATGACCGTATAAGGAAGGATCCCAGGTAAAAGAGAGCTTGACCCTGACCTGCAGAACAACTGACCGGTAATAGCATCTCTATAATGTCACTGAGATTTGTTCTCAGTGGCAAGATAACTGCCAACATGAAGAGCTTAAAGGACTAGCTCACCCAGAAATGAAAATTATCTTAAAATGTGCTCAACCTCAGGTCATCCAAGATGTAGATGAGTTTGTTTCTTCATCAGATTTGGAGAATTGTAGCATTGCATCAGTGTCTCAGCAATGGATGCTCTGCAGTGAATGGGTGCCGTCAGAATGAGAGTCCAAACAGCTGATTAAACCATCACAATAATCCACAAGTAATCCACACCACTCCAGTCCACCAGTTAATGTCTTGAGAAGACAAAAGCTGCATGTTTGTAAGAAACAAATCCATCATTAAGACGTTTTTATCCAAAATATGGATCCATAATCCAACGCTGCAGTGAAAATGTCCTCTCGTCTGAATTAGGAGAGAAATATGCACAGATTGAGCAAGCAAAACAGTTCTAAACAAATAGCTGTGTGTGTGGATTTTGATGTGAGAGGACAACATGGACTTTTTCACTGAAAGAAGCGATATTGTGGATTATGTTTGTATTGTATGTATATATGTATATAAAAAATGGTTGTAATTCCTAAACTTTGAAAGTCTGCACTACAATTTCATCTTGATTGTTTTATTTTTAATTCTGTTCTGGAGGCATACAGAGCCGAAATTATGAAAATTGTGTCAGTGTCCAAATACATATGTGTCCCTGCAGCACAAAAGCAGTGTTAAGTCGCTGGAGTATATTTGTAGCAATAGCCAATACACTGTATGGGTCAAAATTATAAATTTTTCTTTTATGCCAAAAATCACTGGGACATTAAGTAAAGATGATGTTCGATGAAGATATTTTGTAAATGTCCTACCGTAAATATATCAAAACTTAATTGTTGATTAGTAATATGCATTGCTAAGAACTTCATTTGAACAACTTTAAAGATGATTTTCTCAATATTATGATTTTTTTTGCACCCTCAGATTCCAGATTTTCAAATAGTTGTATCTCAGACAAATATTGTCCTATCATAACAAACCATACATCAATGGAAAGCTGGACATGTATTCAGCTTTCAGATGATGTATAAATCTCAATTTCAAAAAATGACCCTTATGACTGCTTTTGTGCTCCAGGGTCACATATGGACCTGACTGTATGTATATTTATATAAAGGAAAGAGCTGCAATGTGATGTTGTGTCCATGAGAGTTCACTGTTAGATCATATTATTGAGACACCAAGGCAGAATTCACTTCACTGTCCGATTTATTGTTGGGAATACAATGCACGTTACATAAAAACCTTGAAAAAAAAAACATGTCAACACTTTGTTGACCTCTACCAGATAGAAAAAAGATCTGTATATCATTGCTTGTCATTTCTGTGATATTACCTGTTCATGTGATTTCTTCACAAGGGAAAACAAACTGAATTGAACTTATATACATCATTCGATTTGTCATCAAAAATCTCTGAGCAGCTAAAATTGGCACATCAGTACAAATTTCCTGACCAACAAAATATTAATTTTAAGCCATATACTGGTCTTCCTTTAGTTTAAAAAAAAAAAGAACAACAACAACAAAAACGACAAGAACAAAAGTGCAAAGGCATAGTACTGAAAATATTTGTACAGCACGATACACTAAACTATCCACAGTACGCATAGTATCGACGTAACATCAAGTTGTTAAATTCTGGCACATTCTGAACATCTCTTAAAGCTACTAATTCTAGTTAAAGCTTTCTATATATTTAGCGTACAGGACGATACTACATTTTTAACAAAACATTAATTATATGTTATGCAAACTACTGTAAGTGCTATATGATGTTTTTCATGTACAATACATACATTCATGTTTCATATTAGTTCATATTTTATGAAAAGACATTGACAAACAACTATGACAAAAGTGGAGAGAATATGACATGAATATGAGCATGTGCTTCTGTGAGTGTAAAGAGGCCACGACTTCTTTTGACAAACTTAATCAAACTTTCCGTCTGTCAACAGAATCCTGTTTTCGCACAGAATTAAACAATTATATATAAAAAGGTAACTGAGACTTTTTATCTCACAATTATGACTTTTTCCCTCACAGATTTGACCTTTTTTCTCAGATTTCTTAAGTTTATATCTTTTTTTTTGCTTCCACCATGAAAAAAAAAGGTAATTGTAACTTTTTATCTCAGATTTCAAACTTTCTTCTCACAACTGTGTTTATCTCTCACAATTTGGACTTTTCTTCTTAAAATTTTGAGTTTATGTCTCACGGTTTTGAGTTTAAACCATGCAATTCTGCATTTTATTCACAATTACTTCTTGCAATTCTTTACTTATCTGAATATATATATATATATAGCTTCCATATTTTATGTCGTCGATTAGCTTTGGATTATAGTGTAATGTGTGATGGTTTATTCAAAAAAGAGAAATGATCAAATTGTACATGACATAGAGAAAGTCTAGCAAATTTAACCTTAAAGAGACACAACAAAAAGTGTACAACTATCATTACCAAGGCTTTAAAAACAGAAAGATAAAAAACACACAATGTAAATCAGCTATGTTCTTTTCATTGGGGGGTGAAGAAACAAATCAAGAAATGCAACCTTATGTTTCATTAAAATAATAAAAGAATAAAATTAAGCATCTCACTAACACAATTAAAAAAATGTTCCACTTATTTTTCAATGTCTACAAAGTGCATCAGGACTCATTTTGTAGGACGTTTACCAAATGAGACTGAAACCACAGAAAACCGCATGTTATAAAAAGATAAGTCTTTGTTAATTATGATTTTACACTTGTAATTTTCTCTGTGCTGAACACCCACGTTTATGACACACTTGTGGGTATTTTTAACAGTAAAAGTGGTATATAATTGGGTTCAAGTGAAGCAGCCACAGAAACTTACATCTAAGTAATTGTACGACTGAATGATTTTGCCATGTAATAAAAGCAAACTTTGAGACACACTGGTCATGAGTGTTGAACATACATTCACAGCTGCTTGGAGCGGTGGGTCTGTGTTTATTGAGGGTGTGAATATTTAAGCACGTGCCAATTGCATTCTGATGACTGCTTCTCTTTACGCCACGTTTGCTTCGTGTCGTTCGCTATTGTTTGCGAGCTGTGAAGTGCATGGAGGTCCAAAGAAAGAACACAGCGTTTGAAAATGAAAGTCTCCAGAGCCGCAGAAGAATATCTGACAGGCATCCAATTTATGCGAGAGAAGAGGATGAAAGTGGAAAAACACACAAACAGACAGACAGAGAGACGGATGTGCATGAGCACGCACGGCTTTAGGAGCGACAGCATCCGACTCCCTTCATCTCCTTGTTAACATACTCCTGCAGCTGAAACTTTGGCTCGTTAGGCTCCTTCATCTCCCTGTGCTTCAGTTCCCTGAGAAACAATTACAAGCCATTACGCAAGCAGAAACAATTGAAGTTGCAAGTGCAACATTAATTGCACCCAGTGCTGGGTAGTAACCGAGTACATGTACATCTGGATTACGTAATCCGGTTCCACAAATCAAGTACTTGTGATTAGATTAGATTACATTTTAAACTACTCGTAATCAGATTACAGTTACAGCTACTTTTTTATGTATGTAATGGATCATGTTAAAGAAGTACAATTTTTGTCATGTAATTCGGAATCAGTTACAGACTACAATTTATAAGTAATCTACCCAGATCTAATTGCACAAGGCAAACAGTACTAGGTTTGTCAATAAGATGCAATTTAATAATCATTTACATAGAAAAGAGGTGTGTTTGCACTGAAACTGAATTTAAACAGCACTACACAATGATTAGAAAAAGGAAATGCAAAATACAGGCACAAATGAACATTAAACATAATGCATATTGTAAGACGCTTCGGATAAAAGTATTTGCTAAATGCATAAAAGTACATGCATTTTTAGCTGGTACAAACTGGTTAAATTGAAAGAATAATCAATAAGATGCATCTTGAAATTTGTGCTGAAATACTGCATGGGAAAGTGGCGCAAATGTATTAGTGCAGGGCTGTCCAAACTCGGTCCTGGAGAGTTTAGCTCCAACCCTAATTAAACACACCTGAACCAGCTAATCAAGCTCTTACTAGGCATATAAACTTCCAGTCAGGTGTGTTGAGGCAAGTTGGAGCTAAACTCTGCAGAACACCGGCCCTCCAGGACTGAGTTTGGACAGCCCTGCATTAGTGGATTCAGCCCTCTGTTTTCACCAACAGACACACAATGCTGCCGTGTGAGCTAACAAACCAGAACATTCAGAGAACATGTGAGTAACACTGGCTTCCTGTTATCACCATATTAACATATCAGATTTTTATGCTTTGCGAAGAAAATGAGTGATGTTTGCCTGTGAAAACATGCTAGAGTGCTATGGGTGGTTGCTAAGGTGTTTTGAGTGTTTTGCTATGCAGTTGCTAAGGTGTTTTGAGTGTTTTGCTATGCAGTTGCTAAGGTGTTTTGAGTGTTTTTAATGCATTGCTATGAGGTTGGTCTGGTGTTTTAGTGTGTTGCTAGTGCTTTGCTATTGTGATTTTAAGCATTTCTGAAAGTGTTGCTATGGTGTTTTAGTGTTTCGTTGGCCATGCATTGCTAAGTGGCTGCTGTAGTATTTTAGTGTGTTACTAAGGTGTTTTTAATGTGTTGCTAAGGTTTTTTTTTTATTTATTTTTTTTAATGGGTTGCTGTGTAGTTGCTATGGTGTTGTAAGTGTTTTTAATATGGTGCTATGCAGTTGCTAATGTGTTCTGTGTGGTTTTTAATGCATTGCTATGGTGTTTCAGTGTGTTGCTAAGCAGTTGTGTTCTGAGTAAATGTGTTCTTTTTTTT